TACTGTGAATAAATAGTCTAGCAGAATTCTTGTCTTGGGAGTGCCTTGGTGTGCAGAGAGGGGGGTCAGAACAGGAATGTATATTTATTTGGCTATTAGGGCAGTATGATAAAGGAAACATCTCCACACTTGTTCATTGGTAGAATCTGCATTCTAACTAATGGGATGGGTCTCTACTGCTTTAATTCTACTTGCATTGCCTAAGGGAATTCAGATGTTGCTTTGAATTTAATGGTTTCCATTCTTCTCAATAAAAGGTTCCTTTTGAAATACTCCGTTTCAAGAGTCTTCACTTTCTTAAGTTAGGAGAGGAACCCTTGCACCCATAATGACACCTAATGGGCCGTAATATTGAAAACTGCCAGTATATTATGTTTTATAAACACTTTCTTGTGCTCAGAATTCCAACAGATTAGGAATTTGTCCACCAGATGTATCTTTAATCTAAAACATGGTGAATAAGTTCAGCAATTTTATATTGAATTTAATGTAAAAGTCCAATTTCTGAATAGTCTTTCACAAAAATCAAGAAACTGCAATATAACTGACTGATTACAATAACTACTGTACAGTATTACAGTACTCTCAGGAAACTGATGCTATAATTTATGCAAAGAAATGTGATATATACAAAACCACACACACATTGCTATGGCAATATTTGCTTTTTTGTAGAAAATATTTTGTAGATTTTGTAGAAAATAGCAATCCAGAGTGAAATGCCCTTTTCTAAAATTCAATTTCCAACAGTATTTGGAACAAATGGAAAACAAAAGTTAAAAAAAGACTGATATTTATATTTGAAATGAAAAAGGCTGAAAAAAAGCTGTATTTTTGGCCATTGAAGAAAATTCAGAAAAAAATTGTAATACATGATCCATTTCTCTCCTTAATTAAGATTTTGTTGAAAAAAATCTTATTTTTTAATCAAAACAATCCTTTGGTGATGAATAAATTAATTCATTTTTCTGGTGTCAAGTTTCCAAGCACCTGTCAGGTATCGTAGTCGTATAAAAAGAAGGTCCTTTCCCATCTGCAACCAACTCCAGAAGGGAACCAACTTAGAACCTATGATTATTAAAAATAATAAAATTTATGTTAAACATATTTATAAATGACAATTATTTCAAAATCACTAATTTTAAATTTTAATTTGCTCTGAAATATATTAAATTTATAGTTCTAACATGAAATGTATCAAAGAGGCACAAAATTATAATCTCAAGTGAAAATAGGCAATATTCAGCTGTATCATTTTGCTAGATTATTATTCTCTTAGTTTTCCCTCTCCCTAGCACAATAGCCAGCACAAGTGTAGATGGTCTGGAGAGGGTGCATGGGTGGAGAAGACTATCCTAGGGACTTGCAATCTGCTCTGTCAGCTTTTCCACTATCTTTATGGGGAAACAGACTGGGAAGGGTGCAAATCGTAATCATGTGATCAAGAGTGCTTGGCAACTGGTCTAAGTGCCAATGGATTGCCAAGTGCCCAGCTTGCGGTCATGTGGCATGCTTGTAACTTTAAAAGCCAGTTGTAAGTCTCTTTGTTCAGCACTGTCATAACTTTGAACAATTGCTGAATGAGTGGTCACATGTACAATGGGCTATCTGTGCAGAATCATTCTTGTTATAGAGAATATTTATGGATTTGTATTATCTGAGCAACACCAAAAATAAAGCATTTGACCCACTCAGAAGCCATTATGAAATTGATTGTTTGTTATGGAGGAAAATAAGAAGCGCTACAGTTAGTTGCTGAATTGGAAAGTATGTATCTCATCCCTTCCTTGCAGCAATCTCCAGATACATATTTCCAATTTAATGTAATTGAGGTTACTAATGTAATTTGTTTTTTAAGTTTGACTTTGGTGTTAAAAATAATTTTATAAGGTGGCTGAAAATTTGATATGTATATCTCTGTGTATCTGTTGATTCTGTTAATAAAACTCTTAATAGTGCTTGCTTTTATTTTGCTGTTATAGTATCAATAAATGTTATTTATACAATAACATTTAATCAATAAATGTTATTTATACAATAAAATAAAAGGCTTTTGTAGCTAGTACAGCAGTACAGAAGCAAGTCACCCCAAAGAACTAGCAGATGGTAACTAAAGAATGTAAGAACATAACTCATTGCATTAGTGTTGTTCTCTATTATATTTCAAAAATCAGGTGATAGGTAACACCTTTTCAGGAGGGATGCGGGAGACCCCTTGCAGGGTAGGGCTGAGGACTATGCTCAATTCTTGGCGGACAAAGTAGCTCGGTTT